TTTGTTATTGTGAAAAGCCAGACATTGAAAATACGTGACAATGTAGGAAAAAAAAGCTCCTCTAGACGCTAATTGATTTTAAATTGATAAATAATTGGTGATTTATATTATATACATAATTAAATTTTGTTTGAGTGAAAATTGAAATTTTGCCATCAATTACAAAAGAGCAGCATAAATGTGCAAAGTTGAGCAATAAAGAGAATTAAAATTGTGCACGTGCAAAATGTCATTTAACTGCTGGAAAAGATTAAAATTTGCTATCAATTACAGAAAAGCAGCACGAATTTCGAGGTGGAGCAGTAAAAAATAAAATATGCACAATGTCATACAACTGAGTAAATAATGTATAGACATTTCTGATGAATGAGGAACGACAAACAGTCTTCTCGATGAAAGAAGTGACAAATCTAGAATAGATATAGCGTCATACATTTGCAGAGTGGAGTCATGTTTACCGGATTTATCAGGTCAAGGAAATGAATACAATTCTTTGACAAAGCAGTGCTAAAATCAAGAATTACAGATAACAGGTTTTTTTCCCTCCCCCAAAGGAAAATAACATCTGCAATTGCGTTATGATCGAAGTTCATGATGAAAATTCCACTAAAATGTTTGGCACGAAATCTGTTCTCTAGTCATCATCATTTAATTTCACTCCACTAGCTTTTACTGATGTTGACATCTTTGATATTGATTTTGTAAATATTATGACTTTATAAAAATGAATCGTCATAAGAGATTTGCGCATTTTCTGATTTACATATCAACAAATATACATTAATTTTATTTAACTAGCACGAAGGGGAAAATTACTAGCAATTTCAGATCATTAAAAAAGTAAAATATTTTATTGTTTTTTGAGTTTTTAAATATTTAATAATAATAATAATAATAATATAATAAATTATAGTGGTTTATAGATTTTTCAAGGGTGTTTAAACCCCTTAATTTGCCGAAAACATTCAATTTTCTGATTTTTTTTTATAAAATTTGGATTATTTCATTTTTTCTATACAAAGTAAGAATCAATATTTAAATATTTGATTAATAATCCCTCAAAAATCGTCTAGTGACTTTCCCCTTGAGTAAGCACTAAGTGACTAATAGATCATTATTTTTTATTAGTGCAAATGTCACAAGAAAGATAATCGTGATTTAGGTATTTGTGCGGAAAATGTGTTCCAAATCACGATAGAATTTATCTTTCCCAGCATTTTAACCGCTGTATCATCCATTTTTGTACCTGCGTTTCGAATTATTTTTCACACATTTGGGCATTAGGGCCGGAAAATAGGGTAGGAAAGTCAATATTTCCGCATACACACAATTTCATGTCATTGCCCACGTTGTAGGTTAAAATGCCCAACAGATACCCTAATAAAATATCAGATACAGACAATGCTTACGTGAACTGTAACGAAATAAAGAGACCAAAAGTCCCCTTTTTACTACTGCTGGCTAAGGATGAAAATGTTCTGGGAAAATACGGCAGTATTCCTATGTGATTTCTATACATCTCTCGGGAATATCTGAATGGCTTTCACATGCACGGAAAAAATGCCCAGCAGCGCAGTTTGTCGTTTTCAGGCATTTACACAGGGATTTCCTCTGTCTCCGCTCTCTTTCTGCCCCCTTTTTCCAGCCACTGAAGACAAATAATATACAAAATAATAAATAATTCCACATGTTATGGTGTAGATTTGGCCAGAATCCTATTCTTGCACACACAATCCATAACTCGCAACACTACACAAATGTGTGTTGCTTCGTGGGTGGAATTGAGGGGGGTGGAAAAGGGGGGTGACTTGGTGGCATAAAGTTGAGGCAAGAAGGTGGTCTTGATACAGTAATTTATTCTTACATCACACAATCCACACAAAGTTAAATCTCCTGAGGAAGGAATCCCTTCTGCACAGCGTGCAGATGAAACACACAAGTTTTTCCTCGCAATGTTTGTTTTATTTTACTGAACCAACGACGAATTGGACGAAGTGCGGAGGAGTTGAAATTCAATGGATACATCAGAGAGACATTTCGGGAGAGAATTCAAAGTGCCATCAGAAATTCCTTTTATTTGTTTATAACCGTTGGGACAGAAATCAATAAGTGGTGTCATCGACGCCACTCTTGACAACCCTCTAGACGAGCCCTCTCGCTCTTTCGACAGACACATCTCGACATATTTTGAAGAAGGGCGCGCACACTTGACTCCTGAAACACACACAATATAAATGATTTCATCATCCTTCACTCTGAATTTTAATTATTATCATGTCACAGCCAATAAATAGGACGTCCCTTCAGCAACACATTCCGGGCAAATATTGAATTCCATTCGCGATATCAAGAGCAGATTTTGGGGGCGAAAGGCATGAGAAAAAATGTGGTGTCTCGTGAGGCCACCAATAAAATTTTCATTCTCCTCATCTCATCATCATTATTATCCAATAATCTGCCAACACAAAAGTGTGTGGACTGATGATTTTTGAGACATGGCGGGGAGTCAAATTAAAATTGTGGATTATTTAAATTTTGGCCAAATGTGCGAGCAAATTTATTTAAATTAAAAACCAGTGTAAAAAGCTCCTCTCAACCGCATGTTTGTCTCTCGTATTTGTGCTTGTTTAAATACACTTTTCTGTCTAATGAAAGACTCCGCCGAGGAAAGTCTCGTCTCATTATTTTTTCTCGCCTTCATCTCAACAAGAAAATGAAGCGTGCAACGCGCTCTCTTCGCCATCAACTTGTGCCGCAGCACTTGATACACAGCCCAGAGCCAGACATTTTTCATTCATTTTCATATGCACATAAACTTTATTTGCACACTTATTCTTCGGCTGGGATAATTAATTCGACTTCCACAGCATCAGCAATTTGCTCAAGACATAACACATGTCTACACTTGTGCTCGAGTGCTCGTCACTTGGTCATTGAGATAGTTTTATGTATTTTTCTTGCTGTAGATGGTCAGCCAGGCTTGAATTTCCATTTCATGTTTGCTGAATTTATTGTCTCAATTTATGCTGCAAGACTGCAAAGCAGAAAAAATGTGTATTAGAGATGTTAATTCATGAAAGAAAACGTGATGAACAAGCCATTGTTAATTAAGATTTATTTATCTCCAACACAATGACTTCAATAGTAAACGATTATGGAAAGCATAATGTCAACATTTGTCCACAAAGTCAAATGAAAAGATCATGTTTAATCTAATTTGTCTCACGAGCGTCATAGAATTTTTTATAATTTCTAAGTAAATTCTGTAAATTGCGAGGAAACGGCTAATTGATCTTTAATAAATACTTTTCATACGAGTTCTTATTCTGAATAGATTATTTAAAAATGCTTAACTCAGTGCGACACGTGACATTGATTACACATTTATTAATGATTGATTGATATATTATGGAAACTCGTATTTAAAATAGGAGTTCTTGTGCGATTTTCATGCACTTCTTGATGTCAATAATTGGGAAAAATAATTTCATTAAACCCGTTTGCTAATGACTTTTATGACTTTGCGAGGACGATTTTCAATTCTCAATGCACCTGAACAACCTCAGGAAATTTTTAGTTGTTTTTAGAGAAGAAAGAAGCATAGCGAATTATGATAAATTTTAATCTAAACACTCACCTTGATATCTCTCAAGACACATTATTTTCACTTCTCAATAATGAGTTGTTTTCATTAGTTGAAAAATTGATTAGATAAGGTGGGAATATTATTCCTTGAATATATTTCAAAGATTTGCAGCAACGTGAAGGTAAATATAAATCCGACAGACAAGAATACATAAAAATTCCTTTCGAATTTTTGTCCAAGAAAAAAAGTTAAATCACGTTCCATGGTGAAAAGAACTTATTGATTTCTTATTCAATTCAACTCACTGTGAAAGACTTCTCACAATATTTATATTATACCCGAGACTTCTTAATCAATTTCCTCTGATAGTCTTTTTTCTGTGCAAACCTGAGCCTTTTTTATTTATCCCTCTGATGGTGTGCAGTGTTGTGTTAGGCTGTGAAGAAGAACTTTCCCGTTCATAGGCAATTTCCTTGGCAGAACCCTTTTTTGCACGCATCCCAGTGACTCTGGAATACACGCACTGGTGTGATGAAGAAAAAGGGAAGGATTCGAGGAGCAGATTGTACCTTTTTCCGGGTGTCTTATCATGACAAACTCTGGACCAAATCATCCCATTCTCCCTTGGGAAAGAGGGAAAAACACACGCGAAGGGGGATTTTCATGCGACTATCACACAATGCAAATGAGACTGCGAATTATAACCGTGATGACATTCACAAGTGAAGGCCGGAGAGTGTTGGGAAAAAAAGGCAAAAAGAGTGTAGAGCTTTCATGGCAAAGTCAAAAGCAGATTTGCACCAATTGTGCCCTCGTGTTTGGTTCCATTTTCTGTGTGACACACGCGCGCTCTTCAACAACCAGAGAAACATTTGCGAAAAAGTGTGGGAAAAAGAGATAAATAGTTGGCCGTCTTCATGCTCAATTGTCTTTTATTTCTACAAAATAAATTCTCTCGTTTTATTTCACTTACAATGATAAAATGCAATTTATATGGAGAACTTATATGAGTAATCGTATAATTACATCACTCTTAAGTGGTAAAATCGTTGCAATTGTAAATGGACAAAGTAACATTAAACTTGAAGATGTGGGGTGGAGGGGGGAAAGGAATCAAGGCAAATGATATTCAAGACTCTCTTCTCGCTAAATCACTAATTGCTTCCTTGAGTCACTCTCTCACCCACCAGAAATTGACGAAGAAGAAATCAATGGCAGCCAGTATTTACATTATATATCCCTCTACTTTGCTGTTCCATAGCTTGTGGAGTGTCATCAAGTTAATTCGGATACAAGATTTCAGCTCTAATTGCTTCGTCAGATACAATGTATACAATACAATGAGAAAGTTCCGCTTTTCGCCCTAGTGGAGGCCGAAAGGGTCAAAATGTGAAGATTAATTGACTTATGGCGCAGCGATGACTGACTAGATTCTGGCCCTCATCATCACACAGACCGCCCCTCATGCGAGGAGCGCACGTCTCAAGATATCTTGTCATGTGTTTCGCCCTACGGGGACGCCGTGGCAATTCTGGATCGCACGGATGAGCGCTGGATGAGACTCGAGCGAATCTCACCCCGTGTCGATCCGCGCACAGATTTCCTCCTGCCACTCGAATTGGAGGCTCTCTTGAAGTGTTCAATCTGCTTATCAGCTTCATCAATTTTCCTGCACGGAAGAGAGAAGAGAGAAAGTCAAGTGTGAGAAAAACGGTCTCCAGAATGCTATTAAGCCCAGGGAAACTCACTTGCTGCAGCATGGGAAGTCCCAGATGCGTTGTCCTCTGCCGAACTCCTCGCCATCGGCGAGCGTCTGCGGCAGTTCATGATTGAGTGTCTCGGGAAGCAGGAGGGACAGCAGTCCCCCGAGGATGCCCACGATGCCGAGAACCACTAGGGGCAGAGACACTGTGATGTTGCTCAGGTACACGACGAACGGCGCCACGATGCTCGCGACGTAGCCCATGATGTGGATGAAAGCGATGCCTTGAGCGCGCACCACCGTGGGCAGAAGCTCAGCGGCATACTGAAGGCCGATGTTGTAGGAAATGTTCACAGCGAAGCGCCCGAGGATGGCCAGAGTGGCCGAATAGACGCCAATGGGCACCACAGTGGCCAGCAGACTGAACACTCCGCTGAACACCATCGTGCCGCACGCCAGCCACCGTCGACCCCAGCGATCCAGCGTCAGGGTCAGCAGAGTGTCGGCAGGGAATTCCGTGGCCGCGGCCACGGTGAATGTGAAGAAGATATCCAGTCCCAGCGAGCCCACATTCCGCACATGTCCGTCGAACACGAGCGAAATCGCCATCCAGATCAGCACCAGAACGATGGTGATCTTCCGCAGACGCGGCGTCCGGAAGAGATCCAACACCGAGTAGCTCTCAGTGTCTGTCTCCTCTTCGCGGATTTTGGCACAACTCTCCTGCAATGGCAAAGATTAGAAGCGTCACGATCGCAGTACAGAATCTGAATTCTAATAAGGCCGAATGCTATCTCCAACAATCGACAGTCTTCTTCTCAAGTGAGAATTGAGAGTGTTGTAAAAAAAAAAGATATCGAACAAATTAAGTATTTATGATGGGTGTTATAAAAGTACAATGTCATGGTTGCATATATGAATAGAAATGAGTCTCATGACGTGATTTAACATCATCTATTTTGGTCATTTTCCGACTATGTGCAAGAAGATTTCATTTGAAATTTAAATTAAACTTGTTATATTGGCTAATGGTTTACTATATATGTTATATAAACATCCAGGAAAATGCTGCATTTTCCTCATCAAAGTACTCGGCATAATTACCATATTTACTATTTATTATTATTATTATTATTTTTCCACTCAAATTTATTACCTGCGAATCGTTTGGGGAATTTTATGAATAAATGAATGTTCAATGAGGTAAAAGAATCTCAATTAAAATTTCGTGTTTAATGATAGAAAATCCATTATAGTAAAATCCAAAGAGATCATTTCAATCATAATACGGTTAAATAGCTTTTAATTGCCATAATAATATTAATGAATCATCCGCACAATATTTCAATTGGAAGATTGATAATGTTAATTGAAACCGAAGAAGCTTCCAGGCTTGATTAATTGACTTTGCATTCATACCTAGACAAAACATGTTTATGATGAATATAATGTTTGGCATTTTCTTGCGAACCCATAGCTTATGGCGTCGAATACTTAATTAACCTTCAGAAGCTCAATCATGAATTTCATGAACAAAAGTCAAAGAGGATTTTGCATTTCAATGAATGTAAGGAAATATTCTTGGAATTGAAGCTGCAGACTTACCGTGAAATCGTTGTATATTTGCGGTGGGACGTCAGTTCCGTTGATCTTCTCGAATTTTCTCAAAATCTTTATGGCTTTGTCAATCTTTCCCTGCGACACCAACCACCTGCGAAGACAGAGAGAGAGAGGGAGAGAAAGAGAGGTTGAGTATCGTGTCTTGGCATCTGGGCACGTGGATGTGGAGTGAAGGGGAAGGTCAGACCTTGCTGATTCCGGAACGATAAGTGGCGTCAGAATGGCAAGACCAAGTGGAGCCGAAGTTACAATTGTGAACATCTTCCAGTCCGCCAGGTAGTAAGCAATCCAGGGCAGTGAGCACGATCCAATGGTGAAGAATATGGCAATGGACATGTTGGCCACAAAAGTTCGCCACTTTGGCCCCACGTACTCCAGCACTGCAAGAGAGGAAAAGTCACCTGAGTCTTTGTGGACACAAAATCTCAATGACCACGAAATCCAATTTCATGGGCATTTTCTCAACTCCGCGCCACAGACACATCAAATGTCTATCTCAAGATCTTGCTCATTTTGTAAACATTTGCCATTACCATTGGATTTTGTTGCGGTAGTCGATAAAAATTGGCGCATTTCTAAGGTGACTATGCTATGCAAAGTGTGCAGGAAGTCTAAGTTAATCAGGAGATAAATGATATCTGCATAAATCCAAACATATTACCGCCGTCGCACTGCAATTTCAACAATGCCATTCACCCAAAATAGCTTCTGGTTTTTCGTCACTCTTTTTACCAACTAAATTGCCATATAATTGCACACTCCAAATCGACGGGTGAATGGAAGACTGTGAAAAGTCGTTTTAAATTTTTCCAGCTTCGAATGAAAAGTTGATAATCAAATGAAAAAGAATAAGAAATCATAAATCACTTATAATATAGTTATAATTTTGGATTTTTGGGATTTTTCTACGATGTTTGTTGAATTTTAAGTGTGAACTTTGAAAAGAAGTACAAATAAAGTATGAGAAATTGATTTAATAGACTTTGGAAGCTAATATTTTCAGTTTATCGTTCAATTCGCAATATTTCAGTTAAAATTTCTAATAAATACCAAAGAAATTAACTGAAACATTTATAAAATAATTTTTATAGAGCAATAAAAACACTTTAATGAACGATTAGAAGCCGTTTGAGGCAATTTCGGTATATTTCGCGGCGATTTTAACGCTAAATTTTCAACTTCCTCTCCTGAAAAATTGCTATTTTTTGACTTTGAATAGTTTCCAGTTCAACCGTCGAAGTAGTTTTGAATACGATGCCAAAAAGTACACAAAAGAGTGTGTAATGAACATGAAAATTGCAATATATGTCATTGTTGTGTGTATTTTTTACCCAAACATAGCCCTAGGATGCTGTATAATGTTTGCTGTGGAAGAAGATAGAGGGTTTTTTTTTGGGTATTTTTGTGCGTGCGTTTGTTGGTTTTTTCGATGCTTGCACAAACGCTGTGCGTTTGTGTCGCAATTATTCACCAAATGGAATCATTAAACCCAATTTACCCGCACAGGGTACTGACTCTGAGAGTGTAAAAAAAGAATAACATTGCAACATTTCGGATATTTCACAACGCACTCGAATGATGGTTTGCCATGTGTGTTTCTATTCTGTTCGCATGGGCCCCTAAAGTTCCTCAAGGATCCGACTTAAAGTCGTGCATTTTTGTTTTCACAAGTCCAACCGGATTTCCTTATGACTTCTCCAAATCCATTCCTTAGTGTATTATAGTTTTTTTTTCTTCTTCTATATGAAGGCACACATTAATGTATTACATTAGAAATGAATTATTGAGTATAAATAACTTTGTCTCGGTCGATGAGTTTGTATTGTGTTGAGAGATTAGTTGCGGATCGACCAATAGTTGTGCCTTCACAAGTTGCAATTAAGCTCTCATGATGTCGTGAATGTCTCTGCAAGTTCGCTGCCAATCACTCCCCATCAATGCGAACACCCTGAATTGAATGCGAGAGAGACAAAAGGGAGACACGGAGGAAAGACAGCACGAAACGTGCGCCTTATGATCAAGTCTGTGAACTCCGTGTAATTGTGGTTTTCACAAAATCTCAACAAAATTACTTTAATTGAAAGGGGTAACCTTGTGCAGTGAATTTGCGGATTTGATTTATTCTACGATTAACAATTTTGTGGTCGATTGGTCCACACACACACACACGCTGGCCAGCGCAATATAATGTTTTATTCGATAATATTTCGTGAGGGTTTCCAATTCTTGGCCATAGTCAAGGTTGGAAAATTCTCAGTACGCCAAAGAACCTTTCCCATTGTCAACAATCTGTATGGAGTGTATTTACACAACTACCGGCTTGGCACTGAGCGGCCTTTAATCCTATCAGAGATGTTGGGGGACAAAAAAAAAGCTCCCGATCAATCAATAGAATTGACACAGATGAAAGGTATTTTTTGTGGACGCATAAAAAGTCTCTCGTGCTGCTCAATTACAATCGGCGGCCTCATTAACGAATTAAGGCTCCCAATTAGAGCATCGCAGAGATTGAGAAAATGAATTTTCACATATGTGAGAATTTGTGTCAAGTAAACGTGTTTGTCAGGTGTTGACAATATTTATCCATCACTCACCGAGAATGTACATCATGGTGAAGCAGTTGTCGAAGGCGAAGCCCACGAGAAAGCGACACAGGCTGAACTCCCAGAAGCTCCTCACGTACGCCGTGGCGACGCCAGCGAAGAAGCCCATCAGGTTGCATCCCACCAGAGCCGGAATCCTCCCGAAGCGATCGGCAATCCAGCCGAAGATCAGGCCGCCCGCAATGGCACCCAGGAAGAATATCGACTGCGCGATGGTCGGCAGGGCGGCATTCTCGCACACCCAATCGAACTGTGTACGAGAACAGGAAGTGGAGTTTAGCAATGAAGAAAAGAGGCGGTGAGTGGGCCGCATTTGGCTCATTTGGCTGTCTGAGCGGATTTTCCTCATTTCGGCGCGCAATCAGAGATTGCCCATGAGTCACACGACGAGAATCTCACCTGCGTCGCTACAGTTTCGTACGGAATATCCGTGAAGTTATATTCCCAACCATGACGACAGGAAGTGACTGGCCAGCTGGGGTCGGGCTCTGTGATTCCCGACTCGATGATTTCCGTGTAGTTCACATCGTACATCAGGCACTTGCTGTACGCGAAGCCGCCGTCATCGGCATTCACTTTTGGCACAGACAGTCGCAATCTGCAAAGAAAAGCACAAGAAGAAGTTTAAAAAATGGTCAAAACTTCCCCGCTCTTCGCTAAGTGATGGAAAATCATATTTGTTTGTCGATCAATTTATGCAAATGAACCGATCATGAGTAGATTTGTGGAGAAGAAAACCTGTTAATTTATTATTATGCCTGAGAATCAACCACGGAATTACTCATCACGCTTAAAAGTGAATCTGCAAATTGTGAAAGAAATTTGATGTGCTTGAAAGCATCATTTATCAAAATACTAGTACAAAAAGGAGATTTTGCACGATTGCTTAATGCAATTGGACTCTTGCTGTGAATTCTCTGGTTTCGTAAATTGACTCATTTTCGACTCTTATTATTACTTTGCCACAAACAACAACAATAAACACTCCAGTATTAATCATCTCAAATTTCTTACGAATCCCATATGTGAAAAATTCCCTGATTTTCACAAAAAGAACCCGCGAAATCTTCCATGTTGACACAATCAACCACCAATTCCACTCTCTGCAATTTACATTTTCATCATTTGTTGAGACATTCTTCGCTTGAGCATCCATCAAAAGTTAAATACACGAAAAATTGAGGTTTACATATTTTATGTCTCATACTTTTTCGGTCTTTTAATTTTATACGCGAAACAGCAACGGGGCAAGGTGAGGTGATTTTGCTTCTTTTTCTCTTCTCTCTTCTCTGTTCAACTAGGTACAAGGTTGTGCACAAAATACTAATAATCGAAATGTTTGCGGCGAAAAAAAAATTAATATTAAAATGGTTTACATTCTCACATATTAATTATGTTATTTAGATTGACCACTAATTAGAGTAGTGCGATTAAAAGTCAATAACGGGGTCAATCATGATCATAACTTACGGACTTCTTCATGTCACACCATTAATGTCTTCATAAATAAGGATCGCGTGATTTACGGCTTCGCGTCCAGCCGAAATTCCCCGCGTGGAGCGTCATTGATGGGAATCACTCGTCATCACATTGCGTCTCCACCTGCGCGGTGTTTTGGAGTCTCTGATGACGCTGTGCGCGCTGTATTGACAATGGCACGAGCCAGTTGAGATGAGGTGTTTGTCTTATAATCTCGTGAGCGGAATTGAAAGTCAATATTCGACGCTGAGAGCTTTGTTTGTGCCAAACCACGCGGTAATTCCCTTGATTAATTGATTCGTGTCACAGCAAATTAGTTCTCCACTCGTGCGATGTCACAAACGATTGCTGGACATCGTAAAGTCCGCAAGCAGCTGTCGCGGTTCTTCTGCGGCACATTTTCTTCTGCACCATCGCAATTGATCACAATTGATCACGTCCGTGGAGTGGGTGTGATTGTGGCTCACCTGCGGGAGTTCCCGCTCAGCCACAACCATGCCAATTGAAAAGTCAACAATCTGACGCAAAATGTGCAACATGTGGAAAGTTCAAGTCCTCTGAAGGTCGCTTGAAAACATCAACGCGCGATTTGGTGCTTCACACATTGGCGGACAACTATCATTATCCCCTTTGTACAATGCCGAGATATCAACTCAGTGGCACCGCAATAGAGTAATTACACAAAATGACAAGAGATCTCGTGGCAAAAAACGGCGGGAAAGATAGTGCACTGAAATCGTCTAAGGAGATTGACTGGTAGATTAAGCTTCAGTGCCCATTACAACTTCATTTACAGCCACAATCGCGTGAAGAAGTTGCACGGTTGTTCCACATCAAGGGGGAGATAATACAGTCAGAAGTGGTGTACAGCTCAGCAGAAGTATACTTAAGAAGTTAAAATATTAAGAAGCTGGATTGACAAAATTGTCCCAATCCTTGGGATTTCTTTTGATTTTTGCACAAAAATGGTCAAAAAAATACTTTTCTAGGTTATGTAACGAATGAAGAACAGATTTAATGAATAATTCGCATTCTAGCATATCAATTCTTATGTTCAAGTCCAAGAGATCGTTAATTATTGGCAGAATTAAGTATTTGCATGGTACGAAACACTGTAAATTGTATTGAACTCAAAAATAACCTCAAAAATAGTCATTAGAACTTGGAAAATGTTCATATAGAAAAAATTCTGCATGATTTTGAGTTCAAATCTGCACTAAACAGACTCCAAAGTGAATTTTTGAAGTTCTCTTGGTTATATTTTGAGGTTATGTTCGCAAAAGACGCCCTAAAAAGCGTTTTTAAATGAATTCTTGCAGAAATAACGGATGGAAACTTAAGAAAATCAATTTAATTTGGGAATCAATGTGGAAACAGTCTTAAAATTTCAGGTTCTAGAAGTGTCAGGTAAATTTGGAAGTGTTTTAAGGCATATTATCTCCCCCTTGTTCCATATGTCTCATGGAAAAACCCGCACAAGAGAAGAACTTCATCACCAGTCAAGTCACCAATTTTCCCGAGCAAAATTTTAAAGAGCAAATTTTGCTGGTTGGAATAATAAAATATAAACTTCTGATTCACTCTTCAATATATGATTTCAACTTGTGCAACAAACCTAATGGTTTTGTTGAAACGGGGAGGAAAAAATGGCAATAACAGTAATAAAGTGATTTTACGGTTCAGTACAATTCTGCACAAAAGCAGGTCAAGTTGATGACGTTTTTGTTGTTGTAAAATTATACTTTATCATCTTGGGTGCAAGATTGAGATGGAAACTGTGGGTTTTCCCCCTTACCTCGTGTCGAGATCCAAGTGCTTCAGCTCTGGCGCCAGACACCAGTGCTCCTCTGGCACGAGGGTGATGAAGATCTGCGAGAAGTACACGAAGGCGACGAAGAAGGCGAAGGGAATCATGCACAGGAAGAGGATCTTCTGGAACAGCCCGAACTCCCCGATGTGCGGAAGCAGGTCGTCAAAGTCGATGATCTTGACGCCTTTGTCTGGATCGGCCTTCAGCTGCTGCGGTGGACGCAAATCCAGCGCCGAGGACTTCTCGTCGCTCTCGAACACTCTGTTCACATATCCGCGCTCGCCCTGAGCTTGTCGCTCTGCGGTTTCCCTGTGATCCGCCGTGGACGCCGACGGAGCCTCCCGCAATCGATCACCGATCACGGGAATGCTCTCTTGTGGCTTTGGTGGCATACTTTGTGCTCTGTATGACTCTATTTCACTTTCACTTTCGCACACAAAATCGTTACACTGATTATGACTCTAATTATTCCAATTTTTATTCACTGATACCGCTTCAGATTTGTGTGATCACACTCTGGACGATCACTGTGTGCTTGTGCACTTGCTTGAATATGTGGTCAGTCTAGCGGAGGTTTTCTTTTTCTCTTTTTTTTCCAATTATATAGGTGCAGAAGAGAGATAATATATTGCAAGAGCTGCACAAAGAGAGAGAGATACTCTTGCAGCAATTCTATTCCTTCTCAGCAACAAGAAAAGAAACTCCGTTTGCCCTCTGGATCACGGGTGATCACGACTCGATGCTACACGCACTTGTTCACTACCGCTGCCCTTGGCAATTGTACGCACTCACGAGATCCTCTCTTGGGGGCTTGACTGCTCCGCACGGGTGGGCACACACCACACAATCCGAACGCTTAGCAGTGGCAACTGGGTAATGATCGCACTGCGATTATGTATTTATACGACAGGCCAATACTCCGAGTTTCCCCCAGAAGTTCTGCACGTTGCGGCTTTTTTGCTCGCGCGTTTTTTGAATAGGCGCCACTTCGGACACACACCACTCAGCGGATCCATCCAGCGCGCCCACCAATCCCACCCAAGACGCCACCCCAAGACACCGCGGAAGTCCACCGATCGCGCTAATTGATCAGCACGCGCTGCTGATTTCGCGAGAAGATCACCCGCATCGATATGCATATTTATAACTGATCCAATCGATTCTCGATTGTGGAAGTGAAGTTATGAAGCATAATTGAGATTTTTGACGGAATTCTCGTGCCAGTTTTTTGCCCTCTCATGATGATCATTGGTGTAGATTTTGAGGAAGTAATTCGGATAATTGCCAATTATTTCAGACTAATGCCTCACATTAGATTTTTGTGTCTGAGAGAGAGAAAAACACAGACAATTTGTCTGTATTTCCCTGATACAACTTTTGATATATGGATAACAATCTTAAGAACCCAGAGATCATTATAAAAAAGCTTTATGTGATTTATAGATTATAAATGTGTTTTAACCAACCATTAATTTGAATGTTGCTTTCAAAGTTGCACTCAGATTCTGAGTTATCTCTTCCAGTGTATTTAACTGTTATTATTGCAGAAACAAGGGCAGAAATGTAAGACAATCAGGGATTTTTTACTGTATTTCGCATTTTCTGTGGGATTAAATTAATTTTTGTCATTTCATCGTTGAATAGAACAACCAGATTTGTCGTCATGCAATGATAAAGCAGACCTTCAGCTGTACATTTGACAATAAGATGATGATCAGTGGATACTGAAAATCGACTCAAATTGTTGCCAATGAGGGAGATAACTAATTACTTTAATATGCAATAAGTATAATTTTCTCATGTGAGAAAATGATTAATGACTATTGCTTCAAATCTACATGGAAAAGCTGTCATTGTCAAGAATACTGGACTTGAATTGAATATCCTGTCAAGAAATGTTGGCTAAATAAGGAAACGCAGAGATAATTCATATTTTAATTAGAGATAAAATGAAATAAGAATGTTCTAAACTCATAATTATCCGCCTGTTTCATGCTAATGGCATTTCACACATTTCATACCACCCGAGAGAGGTCATTTAATCGCATAGATAGAGCAAATACCATTTTCACTCGCACCATTCATTTGCCAGAGTGGAATTTTAATTTCAACTCTGAATTCCCACGAATGACAGGAATGCCTGCGTGGGTGGCCGTCATGCATCTGGCCAGGAGAGACACACTCGCGAAGATGTGACACTGACATCTCTGGCCACAAGACACTAGCCATTCCCATGCAATTGGCGCGAGTGAAAGAGCGAGGTGTAACCTTACGAGGACATCACGTGTGTGCGCTCTTCAAGAACATATTCTCTGTGATTTTACAATTTGTCGCGTGTGCGCTGAAATGCCGCAGAAACATGCGACAAGGTGATAAATTGCTGTATATGATTTTATCTGTCATGCATCCATTCAATTAGTTCTTTGCCACATAAACATCATGGGAATTGTGGGTGATATTTCATCAATACATCTTCCCACATATATGAAAGTCGATGACAACAGGGTAATATCTCCGAGTCGTAAACCTTCATAGACTCACCGTGGGAGCTTTTAAGCTTCTCCCCTTATTCTCTATGCTCAGCATCTTCTCCCTCGGCTGTGATGATCCACCAGGGAGAGAATGTTGTGCGGAGAAGACAAAAAAGGAGCGAATTCTCGTACATCCATCTTCGATTCTTCTTCTTATCCTGCCTAAATTCCCTTCCAAGTCGCTGGGCGAAACTTATATACAGTAATTTCATGGTGGGGTGTTAAGTGGCTTTACTGCGTTTTTCTTTTGCGTGCGCCAAACTGTGCCGCGGATGGCGTATAAAAGAACGAAGACAGATCAACTTGGGAGATAATTTTTATTTATTTATATCGAATCTGATACGATGATTGATGATGTCTGAAATATATATATTTTTTTTATTTTTATTCACTCCTATTCCATCTCAACATTCCACGTTTTTATCGTTCCTACACACAATGCCACCCGGGGTGAACAAACAACGAACGGTGTGGCGCTGAGGGTGGGAAATCATTGGGAAAAACTTTTGATAAATGGTACACACACAATTGGGTCCAAATTAATTTGCTAATTTGCCCGATATATTGTGTACACGAAGGTGTGACACTATAAATTAAGCTGCGAGCATGGAAATGGGAAATAAATTGAATGAGATGGCGCGTGAATTGGGGTGGAAAATGTTCTCTTCAAGCATAGGCGGGCGCGCGCTTTTCTGCAACCAGAGAGAAATTCCGCAATAATTTACCGCACATATTTCCTCTTGTGCAAAATATTAAATAGTTCCTCGTCGAGTGGAAATTTTCCTCCAGCACATTTGTAACATTCTTTTGCGTGTCCTGAAACACTTAAATCACTCACACGGAAAGAGTCAATGATGGTCTTCTATATGGAATTTCAGTGTCTCTCACAATCCTCCGGGCTCTTTGCTCATTGAATCATCAAAATTATACGCAACCCACCACCAATGGCGATAAAAGTTCCGTGGATAGGCATAAAATGGCTTTTTCTCGTAAATCTTTTTATTTGGCTTCCTCTTATTGGATCCCAGACAATTTCTCAATTATTGTGTTTGGTACAAAAGCCTCAAGATTCCGTGATTCCTTTTATTGTGCCTCTGATGCTCGAGCTCTCACCGATTCGTGCGCCTTTTTTTTCCCACCACCCCCATTGTTATCCTTTTGTTTAGCAATTTATTTGTTGAATGAGATATGGAAATGGATGACACAAATATTTACATACATAGTACATAAAGTGCTGAGGAGTCAATGACATGGGAATTGAAGTGATTTATTTGTGTTAAAGCCACGATTTTCTGATGTAGACAAATTGATTTCATTACAGAGCGCTTCTCTATTGCGGGGAAATCATAAATTAGATTGCTCACATAGTGGGGATGGAAAGTGAGCTTCTTGCTATCACTGTGTCACCAGACGGTAAATGTATTTTAAATCGGAAAATCCTTACATGGCGCTCAAGTGTGTGTATTCTTTATTGCATGAGCCTGGGGATAATTCGTATTTTGAAGAGGGACTGAACCCTAAACTGACACATTTTTCTTCTTCAGCACGTTGGACTTGTGTACATGTAAACATAATAAAACAAATCAAATTCATTTCATTACTTGAGCATTGCAAAAATGTGTCTCAAATTTTTATCCGTCGCCATCCTCAATATATCCTTCAGAGGGAGAAAGAAACAGAGAGGAAAAAAAGCGAGAGGACGTGAACAGTGTTGAATTGAAGTGTTTGCCTACAAACACAAGATTCGTGATGTGAATAAACCCATTAGGATAATATTGTATGTAAGAAAGGGGAGGGTTAATGTTGGGAGAGCATTAAGGAATATTTAGGAGAAAGTACGACAATGGGAGAAGCTCCTCTTCTGGCTACTCTCTTGCCATCATCCAAAAGCAATCAGTGAGATGGAGTGGACCAAGAGGATCGACTACAGTAAGAAGATACCTACCTTGTTAATTCTTTCGCAGTAAAATCAACAAGAAGCGCCTGCCAGGGGTGGATTTTCACTAGGAGAACTTTACGAGGGAGGCCCAAAAAACTAATTACACTTTGTCAGGGCTGAGGGGAAAATATTTGTGGGTGGCAGAGACATTTGGATGCTCTTTGCAATCAAGATGGGTTGGGGGAAGATGCGGTAATTCCTTCATCCACTGGCGAATGGAGCCCAGAGAAAAGTCCTCCTTCTCATCGTCCTGAACTTAATACAATTGTGTATTTACTCAGTGAAACTTTGTGTAATTCCTCCCTCTGCTCCGGTCTCTGTCATTTTTACCCATGGCATTTAGTAGCGCGCCGAAATATTGTGTATGCGAATGTGGTCTTGTATAATTTCTTCTTGAATTAAACCGTTGGCTGAGGGGAGGTTTTTTCGCAGAAATTTCCATAAACATTATACTTGTATCTGGTCCTCCATCACTCTCTCTCTCTCATTTCACCCCACAGAAGCGTCGCACCCAATGGGGCATTATAAGCTCTTTACAGATGATAAGAATTCAATAAGGTGACAGCATATCATCGGTAAACAGCTTTCTTATTAAAAACGGAACCATCGTCTCCTCGTTACACCCTCGACAATGCCAGTACACTCCATGGGAAAATCCATATCTCCGAAATGGATGAGTGTGTTAAAGGGAATACGGCGCCTCCACATGTAGGTAATATTGAATCTCCATCCCTCGAATCGAGAGGATACACTTGAGAAAGAAAGGAGTATTCAAATAAATGAATTTACATATAGAAGAAACGCACACGGAGGATAAAATACGGAATCCTGAAGATTTTCCCAGGCAATTCAATAGACACTCTCTGGGAAATTTCCTTGTGGGAATGTGTGGAGAAAATACATATATCAGAATTCAATTTCCAACAATATCACATCGCGCACTCACCAGGGATTGTCACCAGACACCCTTGAGAAATCCCATTATTTTTAGAGCAATTGTTGACCGGTGCAAAACTACCCAACAAACGCAACTTGGAGAACAAGAATTGTCGCTCAAGTGAAGTTGATAATAAACTTACACCAAAGAAGAACTTTCCTCCTGCAAGAAATTTCCCCGTAATTGCTTCTATGTGGAAAAGAGTCAGCAGTTGCAGCGAATTCGCTTAATATTTTGCACTGGAAATAAAAGCAATTATTTTTTAATTGAGTTAAATTGCGAGAAAAAAACTCCTTTAAGGGATTTCGCATTTAAATCCACTGAAATCTGCACTCCAAAGATTAGTCAATTACATTCAATTACAAGCTGCGCATCTCTGAGAGAGTTCAAAGGAAAAGTGCATCAGCTGGATAATTTAATATGTTTGAGAATTAATATAAATTAGACTCTGAGCTGAATATGTTG